AGGTAGCTTACCACAAACAGTTCTTCTAGATAATCAGGTTTCTTCTTCACCCACCAGCAAGAGTATTCCTTCCTCTCCCATAATGAGACATCGAGCTCGGTCGCAGAGGAAAGGTCTTCTGGCTAGTCCTCTCTTACTAAGAAAAACAAGAAAAGAGCATTCTGTGGAAAGCTCAGAGGATGAAGGAGCTCAGAGTGGTGAGGAATTCAGTGGAGAAGGTTTTAAAGACCTTCAAAGTCTTCAAAAAGCGTACATTCGTAAAAAGGTAATATTTTTATTTTATCATTGAAGAAGCACATGCAAATACAGGTCAAAATGAAAGTTTTATGAATACTGCCAAGTTGTATAAAGCTTTTGCATTGAAGTATACAATGAGTGTTAAAGTTGAGTTCATGATGCTCTGGTAAAAACTAGCATAATGTGTGTATTGTACAAATTCCTAATGTTACAGAATGGTGTGATACCCTTAAAATATCTATAGCTAACTGTTAATAACATACAATTAGAGTTTCAACCAGCTATCCTTATTCTGCTACTGGCTTTGTATCTTCCAAATTACTATAAGTATCTATGATAAAATACAGTTGCTACCAGCAGTAAGATATTGATCCAAGTGGTAATTTTTTTATATCATAAACTTTTATCTCTTGTATTTCAAGTGGTAGTTTCTATTTTTAATGAAATTTGTCAAAGTTTCAATTTTGATTTTTTGCATTCTAAGCTAAAGAAAAGACGCACGCCCCAGTCCCAAGAAGTGGCTGATGGAGCTCCAGGATCTGGTTCATCCCCATACCGTGATTTTATCCTGTACAACAAGGCTCCATTGTGGAATGAAGTTAGTCAAGTGTATCAGCTGGACTTCGGAGGAAGAGTCACTCAGGAATCTGCTAAAAATTTTCAGATTGAATTTAGAGGAAATCAGGTACAACTAAGTGTTGTTTAATATTTCTTTTATGGTTGCTGGCTGCATTGTATCACATTTAAACGTACATGGTTATCATATTATTCAAATTTGGTAATGTTTCCTTTAGGTTTTGTTTATGCAATCTTTTTTTCTGTTCTTTAGAAAAATATGCTTGATGGTTTTGCAGTACACAAGTTCCTGCATTTATTAATACATTTATCAAAATTAAGTTCACTATATAGAGAAGAACAAAAAGTAGCATAAATTAAAGAAGCCAGTTCTATCAAACAAATTTAATAAAAGTACATAATGGTGTGAATCAATACACAAGAAAAATAAAATCTTTAATAAATAGAATTTATTTAGTCATCAGTTGAGTACCCTCATTAACATTTTCAGCTTAAATCCCATTAATATCTCGTAAGATTTTGCCAGTGTATCAAACATGAGATAGTTATAAATCCATATACTAAGCAAACAGTGCAAAATAATCTTTGTAAGTGTAAAAATCAATAATAAAATATAATAATATTCCAAATTATTGTAAACATTATGACTAAGAATGTGATTGAAATTCACTTTAAAGAAAAATGGACTGTCAGTAAAGAAACTCAATAACCTTAGCATTTTTGAAACTGGACTTCCCCTTCATCAGTGGTAAGAAGAGTATATAATATTTGCAGAACACATATAAAGCAGTTATTTGCTTGTAAGCTACACAATTTATATCAATATATGAAACGTTAGTGTACTTATAGGCCACCTGTATGGAAAATTATGTTCTGCTACTGATTTCCAAATGATGCTGAGCAACCACTTATAGCCCCTCATCTAATTTCAGAAAAAAATACCAAATCAGCACAACTTGACAAAGTGATACAGAATGACATGAGGAAGGTCATAAGGGTTGTATTTTATTTTACCCACCATCATACCCAAAGTTAAACAAAAAATGTGGCATGGCTAACTAATGAATGAATATTTGCTGAAAAACTCTTATCAATGCTAAAAGTGTATATACAAGTTTTGCTGCCAATTTTGATTTCATTCCTTTAATTCTCACACTCAATCCCTTTTGTTTTTTTGGCTGCACCTTTTTTTTTTCACACCTGAGGTATTTTTGATTAGATAAAATTACTAAGAAACACTGAACATTTTCAGATATACATATAAAGCTATACAAGGGATATCTGTGATATAAGTTTAAAATTTTAAACTGCTAGATTAGAGGGAATGCAGCTGGCTAACAGCAACCACCACCCACTTTTAGGCTGCTCTAATCGGATAGTGTGATTTCACTGTCACTCTTATAATGGACACACGGACCTAAACTGGGAAGTGCAATTTTGCAGCAAGGGGATGCAAGCTATCAGCCCTCAGGTCAGGCTAACCTCTAGGCCACTTCCAGCTATAAGCAAATGATAATTATATCAGGAAAAAACTTTTTTACAAAGAGACCCTTTATATAAATTTACCTGAAACAGTAAAATGTTCGGAACATGTAACTTATAATAACTTAATGGTGGTGCAGTATTCTCAGATTATGCAGATTTATTTTATTATAAATGAGTAAACCTCTCAAAAACTGAAGATCTGATGAATACATTACTATGAAGTATGGGTATGTTTTTCCTTCATTCTGACTGAATTTATCATAAAGAGAAAGAGAGTATACAAAACACAGGCAAGTGTCTGTTATGGGTTGTGGAACTGGAGAGAGTGAGAGAAGTATCATCAATTCAATGTAAGCCTCCTTGAATTAAAAGAAAAAGAAACTTTAAACTAACAGCTAAAACAAGAAAATGTCTAAGTTACAATACTAATCTAAGCAAATATATTTGAAGCCAAAAAAGGCTAAACCTAAAACTAAATCACAATCTGCAAGTGTCTGAATAATGAGAGAGAGTCTGCCTTTCAAATGCAAGAACAAACTATACAAATTTCTGCCAGACAGCTTGCACTTCACTTGCATCACCCAATGCCTCTCTCTCTCCAGCACAGGGACAGAAAAATCCCAAGCCATCATCCAGTTTGTCAACAGGTGTCTTTCAAGGAACTTCACAAGTGATGTTACATCTATCCTTCCTGCAAGAAAACACATATAATGACCAATGAGACTGATCCCAGCCCATTGTGGTTAACTTAAGGACATGTTAAGTTATTTATTTGAGTGACTATCTGTATTGAAATAAAACTGAAAAAAAACAAAAATTGTATGACAGTGTTGCAAGAGTCATGGTATTCTGTAAAATGTTTATGTAAATGGTAGCAAAAGAAGTTTGAATTTTCCATAAAATTCAATAAACCTGGCATAATATTCAAGCTTTGTGTACAATAGGAGAAATCTCATTTATGAAAAATAGGAGTGAATTTATGAGCTTTGTGTATGAAATTAATAATTTTAAATAATTTCTATTGTGTCTAATCAGTTGAGAGGAGAAAACATTGTGGTTTAACTATTTGGAATAGAAAGTGGAAGATTTGTATCATAAAAATTGGAAGTCTCCATTTTATTAAAACTTTTGAATTTGAATTTTTGATTAATGATTTATGATAGTTATATCTAAAGTCCAAGTAATGTGCATTTTATGTAGTGAAAGAACTGTCTTCAAGGTGAGTTCTAGTGGATACATAAGTTTATCAGTGGCAAAAAACATAGAAACTGTAAAACAATGCTGGCAATTTATCTATAAGCACAACTACTGTTCAGAGCTATTTTGTAGTTTCATTTATTTATATTTGTTAGGAGTGAAAATTCTAGCTTAAATAAATACAAGTCAACAACTTGTGGGTTCAAGTTACTAGAATATACATTGGCCAAAGTGTACAGATGTTTTGTGAAGTAAGAGCCCAGCTTATAAGAAATTGGTGAATATGAAACACAGGCATGTTTTTTGATGATGATTATTATAGAAACATTTTTGTTCACTAATTCAAAATATTGATTTAGTAAAATTGTTAAAAGATCTTGATATTGTCAATAAAAGACTCAAATTCATCAATAGGAAGATGTGTGTAAAGACTACTAAAATAGGAAGTTTTGAGTTTGGAATTACTGATGATAATGAATGAATTATTACTGTTTTTTCTTTGATAAGTTTTATTTATTTAAATACTGTAGTGTATTTACAGGTTAAATTGATAAACTGGTAGGGATCTGTGGCTAATTCATGATAATTATAGTGTACAAGAAGGGAAAACAGCACTGTTTGTAGGATTAATGGTGTGCTCTGGGAATAGCTGGAATGGATGTAGGCCCCCCAGTAATTAGGTCATCACAAAGTACATAAAGCCTTTAAATTTTTCAACACTGGATCAGTCGATTTGACCGACCATGTGACCTCTTTATACTCATTTAATGTCTTTATAGTTTTGATACTACTAACTTTTAATGTAACATGTATATCTCCAAAAAATTTGGAAGACTTTCAGTAAACATTATAAGTCTTTCACATACAAAAAAAATCATATTTTTTAATAAAGTATTTTTGATAAACTATAAAAAGATTTGTTAGCGAATATATCAAGGACTTTTTTACTAATTTGCATGCAAAGTAATTTTCATGTTAAGATTAAAAATACTTTTCTTCATCTTAAAAATCTCCAAGCTCATTCTCATTATCTCTAAAACCTCCTAAATACATTTCAAAACTATTCTATCTAGATAAATGCATTTTGGCTTTTACGACTCCTCCTATTTCGAGAAATCAAGCGTGATGTGATGCACACTGGCTTTTATATAGGTTAGATAGAATACTGAGAAAAACTGATACTTTTGTTCAACAAAATTACAATAAATATTGGACAGTACAGCATACTATTTAATATTTTTCCATAACATATGGAGAAAAATAAACACTGTAATTTAACAACCCTATTTTTTACTTAAACCATAAACTTTTACAGAAAAATCACCACTTTTCAGTTTAAAATCATTATTTCAAATACTGGACTCTTCTAAATACTACTTAATATTCGATCCGTAATGCAGAAAGAAACAAGCCATAGCTTAGTTTAAGAAAGATGAACAAGGATACTTCAGTCCACAAGTATAAATGATACATATTAATAACAGTTAAGATACAGTTGTACTCACAATTAGAAAATAATGACTTTCGATATGGTGGCCCTTTGGAAAAGACAACAGCCACAATCAGATATTGGAAAGAAGAAATAAGAAAAATAGTGGTCGATTCCCAACACATTAAAGTTTCTTCTTGTGGCCCAAATGAGACTCTCTTATACCTGGCAAAAAGGAAGATATACATGTATAATTGGTTTAAGACAATATGTGAAACAAATTTTTTTTGTTATTCAACCTACTTTAAAAATGTATTAAATTTGTTCTAGGCATTAAAGTACTCACTTCCAGAGAGATTCACCTTGAGAAATTAATAAAAGAAAACAAAAACTACTGATTTGTTCTGTGTTTATTTTCATGCTACTAAGTTCTACTTTTTGTCTAGAATCATGTTATTGACCTTAAGATGTTTTCTTTGAATTCCTTCTCTTGATTGGTGTTTATGCTATCTAGAAATGTTTCATACTTTGCAAAAAGCATATCATTGAAAAATTACTTTTAAAAAATTTATTTTTATTCACATTTTAACCCCTGAAAAATCAGATATATCAAAAATCATTATTTACTAAAGACAGAGTCATAATAACAAATGCAAAGTAAATGCAATACTCAGCTGAAGTTAAAGCAAAAATCATCAGACTGGCTACATTTCATTCTCTTATCTGGGAGGTAGCATTTGTATCACTATATTTTCTCATGTTAACAACACTCTCCAGTTAAATCAACAGGATTCTGTTTTCACATCTACAAGGTCATGATGGTTTTGTTACTTCTATCTCATTTTAATAGTTTTCACCAGTTTGATTCAATACACAGATCTAAGTGACAACACTGGTCATTCCAACAGTTAATTAATTAATTCCAATCCATCTAACCACACAGATGAAAACAATTGTTATCACTGCTGTTTCTCATTTCAACAGTTCTCACAACTTTACTCCATTCATACACATCAAGCTAAACTTTCTTACATTATTTTTACCAATTTTTTTTTTCAACTACTCTCACTAGCTAACTTAATTCCATTCACAGATCCAGGAGATAACTGTAGTTTCACTAGTTTTGTATCTAACATGTATTAGTGATTGACCGAATCTATGGTAAAAGTAAAGCTGATACCTCAAACAAGACATTTCATTGCTGATATTCCAACAGCATGAGAGATGCCAGCTGAATTCCTCCCATCAGCATAATCTGTTACCCTCACACAAGATTTACCAATACTGATATTCCAATAGCATGAGAGATGCCAGATGAATTCTTCCCTGTTCTTTTAATCTTGGTTTTAGTCTATCAACTAATAGATTTTCCTTTATACTTGACACATGTTCATTATTAGCATTGGATGAGATTTTAACATTTTCCCTATTTTTTTGGGTTCATTACAGCTGTATAGCATGTTTCTTAATGCTTGAGTATCAGTAGAACTCAAATGTTCATGCTCCTTAATACCCTAGTGGTAAAATCTGTATAACCTATCAACATTTTGATTTAGTTTTCCCTATTTTTTTCTTGTTTCTAATTGGTTAATTTTGTTAATGATAGAATGAGGATGAACGATTTAGCATTCCTTACTCCTACCTAAAAAAATTACAATTTCCAAGTTATAACATGGTTGGGTGGTCTCACTATTTAAAATATGACCAACATTGGTTAAAGGTTAATACAAAAGATGTGGATTGTGTGCCTCTTTAAAATAAAATCTATTAGATGTCTTTGTAAACATGCATTTTCTTCATAAAGAGATAGAAAATATTGAGAAATTATTAATAAAAAATGCTTTTCAAATATATTTTAAATCAAGTTACTAAACAAGTAGCAGCAAAACAAAAAATTACTTTTGTTTTACCATATATTGGAAAGCAGGTTATCGATAGAAATTAGTTATCAGTTAAGAAAAATAATTCATCATAATCATCCTCAAGTAGAACTCAGACCTGTATTTAAGCCAGTGTGTAGAACACAAACTTTTTTTAGATATAAAGACAGAATATTCATTTATCAAACATCAAATGTAGCATATCAATATAGATCTAACAAATGTAAGTTAGTTTATGTAGGTTCTACCACTAGGGTGTTAAGAATTACATCATACTCAAGTATTAAGAAAGTGCTATACAGCTGTAATGCACTCATTAACTCTCTCCATGGGCATCTTTTTCTGCACATGTCATGAGGTTTTAGTGAGTTACATTCAGAATTTAATTAAACTATTTTCTTTTCATGTTATACCGATTAGTTTAGCATAAAATCTTAGCTAATAATCAATATTTTAATAGTATATAAGTTTTAAGTTCTTAATTTTATAAGTAAATATTAAAAAAAATCCTGAATTTCCCCTATTATGAGAATTGTGATATTTTCTTTCTAGGCATCACCTCTTTTCTAATTTATTTACCACCCCTCCATGAAGTACAGAATTTAACAAATTACTCATTATAATATCATCATCACTTATGCAAAGCATAATTTTCATAGCCTTCAATCTTATTTGGTTGCAGAGCCATCAAACAGAAAATCAAACCCCTCTTGTCACACCCTCTCTTTCAGAAATTGCCAATAGTTCTCTCTGATGTTCAATGCTACATTATTTATAACCAACAGAAAGCCAAAGTTTCCATCTACCAAATGATGTGTTATATTAAGTTGTTTTCTGTACAGAGAATTCCCAATTTCACTTTCAGTACAAGCTTTATTCACATGGGAAACACAGACTTGCTCACAAGAACTTGTGATGACTCTTATCGCATAGTTAGAAAGCTAGAACAGTTGTAAGAGTCATGGGACATTGTCTGCTTTTTGTGTGTTCTTTGGTGCATTATTTAATGCAGTAGAATCAATAGTATAAAAAAGTAGGGTTAAGTGTCATTGACAGTTGACAGAAAAAAAAGGGGGGAAACAGTTAAGTACTTTATTTCTTGTTTTTCATGTGTACTCTATTTATTACTAGCATGTAGCCTGTCAAAAATGACGGGGCAAGTACTACCATTCCCACACATTTGATAGCTAACCAAAATAAATAAATTTTGGGAAATCAAGCTTGACCAACAAAGTGGCAGAAAAGTGCAGTCGAAGCAAATAAATGTCAATCAATTCCTTTGTGATCCAATCAAAGTTAAGATCATTCATAAAATGAATTCATGGCATATTCATAGAATAATTATTGGTAAAAATCAGATTAACAACTTTTAATATATATATAAAAGCCAGTGCTTTTTGGTAACACTACTTTCCAACAATGGCTTTTATGTCATGTTGCTTAGCAACAAAAGTATAACCTAATATTGTTGTTAGTCTGTGAACTGAAAGTATAAAATTAAAAGTACAGATAACAAAACTGGAAAGTTATAATTTTCCTATACGGAAAATGTAATTTCGATAGGTAATTCCCTCCACTTGCAAGATTATCTATTCCCATTCAGTGCTGCCTTCTATATGCAAACTTGTTTTTATCGCATGCCACAAGCCTTCTGCTCCCCATATTGGAATCTTGTGATTCCAACATGTCTCTCATGGAAATCATCATGTGTCACTTCTCCACCAATGAAGTGCAATGTGCTCCCTCTATACTCTTCCACCAACTATCACTTCTAGTTTGGTAGAAGATGGAAGCACTGGTTTTCAGTGGAGAGGAAGTGTGAGAAGAGAGTATTTACCTATTGGAAATACATTTTCAGTATAGGAAAATTATAACTTCCAATCAGGTAATTTCCTCCACTCACAAGATTAGCTAGAATCCCACATTGAATAGGATAAGGGGCTGGTGCGAGGGAATGATGGGAGCACTCTTTGAAAATGTCCAAAGGAAATCCCTGGAAATGAGAGTCAGACCTGAAGATCTGATGATGGGAACTGCACCTCTCAATGAGGTATATTCTTTGCCCATACATAAAATACTTATGAGATATAAGTGGAACGGTAGAGAAGCACATCCAAATGGGGGAGAACTTCAGCTGGATAGTGTGTGCCGAACCACATGATATGGAAGTCAATCCCACCATATAAAAGTAGGTTAACAATGAATGTGCCCAAGATATAGAGTAGCTAGGAGGCGATGGACCGTACGGGTATGTCAACTACGTCAAAAACTCTCACCACTGAGAACCAACAGCTATGCTGGGGTTAGATGAGGATCATACCGGCTTCACCTCAAGTTGGAGAGAATCAATAACCACTCTGATACCTAAACATGTAGTAGTTTGATAGATCGATTTGGGAACCCAACATCCAGTATTGAAAGGATGTCTATATAAGAAAACTTAAGTCCCATGACAGGGAAATGAACTGGAACCATCCAAAACCTGGAACATCCTTGGATAAGATATATCAAGGGACAGCAAAGGAGTCTGGAACAATCCACCTTCCTCAGCTATGACCCACAACACAAAGAGTTTGATTGAGGGAGAAATATAGACAACCATAAACATGTGTGAGGACTTATGTTGATTGGTTCAATCTAATTCCAACACCAGGCCATGGGGTAAAGACATCCACATGGCAGTAGGATGAATGCTCCCAATCGAAGGGTTGAACTGCATTTTGGATGGCTCAACTCCAGTGGTTGTGTAAATGGTATCAGGAGGTCATGTCATCCAACAAGATGACGGCTCAAGTCCTCTGGAGGCCACGTCTCATTTACATCAGCAGAACACCACCACCCTACTCTCGACTGAATGATTATAGCCATCTTTTAGTGGAACTCATTCAGGAGGGTGCCTCAACAGTGAACCACCACAGCAGCTTGGAATTGGAAATTGGTAAGGATTCCCACTCCATCAGAAGAAAAAAGGGTGAATACACGGTGGAGAGTCTGGAGGAACATCATCACTGGAGACAGTGCAAAGGATAATCACAAAACCTTATTTTGAAAAACAGACCATACCGATTTATTCAATTAAGGCATGGCAGGGATGGGCAGCTATCCTCTTCTGCTTTACCCATGCAGTCCATGGGTTGTACAATCCAGAACAGGCATGTTTATGAAGCAAAAACATTGCAAAGTTATTCACCTTGAACCGATCTTGTCGAACACCCCATCTCATCGGTGAACATTGCAAAACTATGGAAGAGTGCAATTCAACATGGCTGTACAGTGTGGATTTCAACTGAAGGATAACTGGCGAGGCATTACTCGCTACGAAGTGGGATCCAAATAGTGAATAAA